TTTTACATACTTCTCAACATTAAACAATGTCTATGATGTACTTGTTAGCATTTCTTTTATAATTTATTTGAATAAATTACAAATACACACCCCTAATATTTGTTTAAAATACAAATTGTAATTTGGTTTGAAATATTATAAATACCCCTTTATCAAAAAAATTTATTTAATAGAATTAACTAAAAAAATAAAATTCCTAACTATTCTTTTCTACAATGATAAAATTACCTGAATTATTAATTGAAATAAATTTCTGACGTCATCAAAAACTATTAATGGACTTAATGATTTATTAATAAAAGAATTCATTTGTTATAAAATTAAAAACTTCAAGGGATTAGACGTAATTTCCAAAACTACAGTGACAAATCGTATTTTAAGCAAATTTTGAAGGATGTATTTGTAATTTACCCAATTTATTTTTAAAACTTATGGGATTTGTTAGTTTCTCAAAAAAAAAAAAAAAATTAGAGGAACCAACGTGTAGGTCCTAACAGTGGATTTATTATTCAATAGAACCTATGATAATTAATGATATTTTTTTTTTATCAAATACTATTAAAAAGTCACTAATTGTAATTTTCAGCGACAATTTGAAAATTGTAACAAAAAATATCAATAATTATTAGTTTTAGCGATAGTTTAAAAAAAAGGGATGCACCAATAAATCCCAAATTAATAACTTATACACTGTTTAGTCCTAAAAGTTTTCTTATAGACTGAAAGGTCCCATTACAATGTTTCAAACATCAGATTAATGTTTCGAACATTGGATTTCGAGCATCAGATTAATGTTTCAAACATTAGATTGATGTGCAAATGGGACTAAATGGAGCATAAGAAAACTTTTAGGACTAAATGGTTCAACTTTTCAGAAACTAGGACTTATGGGTAAATTTTTCTTAAAAAAATATCACAAAAAAACATTATTAATTTTTAACTTTTAGCAATAGTTTGAAAAATTCATAACAGAAAAAATATCACTAATTATGAGTTTTAGCGATCATTTATAAAAATCGTAATAAAAAAAAAGGTTACGAATTATTAATTTTTAGCGATATATGTAAAAAATTATCACAAAAATTATTTTGAATAACGATTTTAGTAAGACTTATTTTCAGTAAAATTTAATAAAATTAAGGGGTTGTTTGGGGTGTCCTAAATAAGTGTACTTTTTTTCTTTTTAGACTAAAAAGTTGAGGTTGAAAATATGAATATTTGGATTAATTTTTTGACTTTTTATGAAAAAATATGTATTAAAAAATTGTATAAATTAATGTGTAAGGAAAAATTAATATTAAGAATTGTACAACCGTAATTGTTAACTTTTGATAAATAATAATAACTTTTTAAATAATTTTTTAATTTTCTAATTTTTTTTAAGACTTTTCAAACTTGGCATCCATCTATTAGGACGTATGAAACTATTAGGCGTATGAATAGTTTAGTGAAAAAAAAGAAGAGAAAAAAAAAGAGTAAAGTAAAAAGGGAAAAAGAAATCCACGTAGAACAACCGTCAGACTCAGAAAAGCGAATCGAACTTCCACTGCACTAAACACCTCCATTAGACTCAAATCTGAGCTCCATTTGAATAGTAAAAATGCTAATCAATCTCTTAAATCATGATTTAACAAGTAGAATTTGAGGGTTTCTTAAAGCTGACGATTCTCTGTCAATGGATGGTTTTGGGTGAAACAATGATGAACTTGGAATTGAAAGATCAGTCTCACCTTTCCTACACTTCGCATTTCAAATCCAACCCCTGAATATCTTCCATTCATCTTCATCCCAAAACCACCCAAATAGCATATCTGTGTATTCACATTGAAATTCATCATTTTGGGTTGAGAAAATGGAGGGCATTTGGAGATATGGGGTTCTCAAAACTAGGGTTTTGATTGGGGCCCTTTGATTTGGAAAAAGGAACCTCTGGGTTGGAGGAGAGAGGGGCAGAGAGAGTTTTAGAGAGAGAAGATATGAGGGAGCTGGTAGGGAGGCCAGGAACTGTGAGTGGGCTGATGTTGAGGATAGGGCAGTGTTTGTTTGGTGCTGCTTCCATTGGAGTGATGGTCTCTGCTATGGGCTTCTCTACCTACACTGCTTTCTGGTAAGTTTTTGTGTTCTTTGTCACTTCTTAAAGAACTGTTGCAATTTTGTTGTTGTGCAGTGAAATTTGTAGGTGAGATTCAAGTTCTTATATTGAAGATTTGGGTTTTGTAAAACTGAAGGTGTGTTTGAATTAATTTGCCAAATGAAAATAAAATTTTCATTTGAAAGACTTCCAAATATAGAGAGAAAGGTGAAAATATATTGAAGCATGATAGAGTAATCTCTAGCTTAAAAGCAGAATCAAGCAAGGTTTCTTTCTTAAAGAAGTAAAACCAAGTAAGCAAACATTCATTTATGGTAGGCATATGCTCACCATCTGCCTATAAAACCATAAAATTCTCTCTTGTAGTGAATTTTAAATGCAGCTCTCTATTATTTTTTTTTTCTTGTTCGGACTTATATTACGGTACATTATTGGAAAGACACAAATTAGACAGCAGTATGAAATTTCAGTTGTAACAGTTGGGAAATATTTGATAGCATAGCATTCATATATGTAATTTTCTAATTATAGCATGGGATTGTACTTATCATACATCCAGTTTGTTACACACATTTCCTCTAAGGTAGTTGGACCAGAAAGGCAAAGAAAACTAAAGATTTACGACTTTCTATACATTTATTCCTGGGTAAAATTTTATTTTCTTGTTCACATAAATGTATCAAGCGGCCACTGGTTCAGTGGTTAATTACTAACCTCGAGGTTGTGGGTTTAAACTTGAGGACAACCACTTTGTGCAAATTATGCCAAATGTTAGGTCTGTGCCCAATCTACCCCGTCTTAGACCCCCATCAAATGGGGACTTAACTAGGTGTAGTTTTTCTAACTGGCTCACAGAAATGCTTTCGTAACTTAATTTGGGGGAAGGAAGGTGATGTTTGGGGCAATGTTCATTCATTTATGTGCATCATCCCACTTTACATGTTCTCTCATGCACTTGCACGCTAGTTCTGCTGCTACAAAGTATAGACACTTCTAAGAAGGTAATGTCTTGTGTCCGGCACCTACGCAACACGACACTCATCAAGCAATTCCCAACACTTAGACATAAAACATATTACAAGTTTGAATAAAATAACTTGGAGAGATTGTTGTTGCCTTTTCTACCATAACTATTATTTGATGCTTTCTTGTATGGACTTCTAAATTCTGTTGAGACGTCATCCTGTCAATTCCTTAACGCAAATTTAATCAAATTCCATGTTGCTTGATGCAGCTATTTAATTGCATCAATGGGGCTTCAGGTAATGTGGAGCTTTGGACTTGCATGTCTTGATGTCTATGCTTTGAGCTTAAAGAGAAACCTTCAAAATCCAATCTTAGTGAGCCTGTTTGTTGTAGGCGATTGGGTATTTAATTTTCTCCTTACACTCTTGGCAGCTTTGCTCCTATTATTTATTTTTGTCATAGATGCATTAACTTTGTCATACGGATCAATGCATGATTTTACACTGGAAAGTATTGGTTCTCTAATTGTTGTAATCATTATATTTTATCTCATTGGTTTCTATACTTAATACCATACTTCTTCACATTTGTGTTCTTTTATTTGTCTCATCGCTTTCTTTTGTTAAATTATTGTAATGGCACTTCAGATTTTTTTTGTTTATATATATTTCTTTTTGGGTTAGTTAATATGTTGCTTATGTTTCAAAACCTCCCCTCTGCAGTTAAATGACGCCCTGTTTGGTAAAACTTGTTACCAACTGACAAAAAGCATCACAAACTCGGTTTGAGCTGAAAGCACAAGCTGAAAACCTGTAGTAACTAAGTAGCATAGACAAGGATATACTGACAAGGCGATTTTCAAAAAATGTTAAGGCATGAAATGTCTAGGACACGTTAAAAGTTTATATATATATATATATATTAAATTTATTATATGTCAATAGTAATAGCATAGTACTACATTCGTGCTTTGCAATATATAATTCAGTTCTTTTATTTGCACAGAAACCAATCATAGAATTAGACACATTCCTCTCACGAGTGTGGAGCCCATAAAAAAGTGGAATTCATTTCATGTGAAAGAGTTGTGTCCAGTTCTGTGTTCTTAGACCTTTTTAAGTATTAATTTACATATCAATTGGCATTGTGTTTGTTTCAAATGCAGGTGACCGCTACTCTATCGCTTGCAGCTTGCAAATGTCTCCCCATCAGCAGGCCATTGCCATTCTGTTATGAACGGGACTTGGGATGCTTGCAAAAGTTCAAATGCATCTCCCATGCAGTAGATTCCAGCTCTCCGTAGCTCTGGCTTTCATCACTTGGTTCCTCATTGCTTTGTCTTCTTATGTGATGTTTTGGCTCTTAGCCTCAGTTTGAACAACCTGTGCTTTCGTCCCTCTCACTCGTTACACGTTCTCCATTGCCCTCTGTTTGTCAGTTGAATCCCATATCACAGTTTTGTGTGATTGTCAAGATTTCATGGTTTCAACTGCAATGTTTTTTTGTGTGTCATGCAAGCATTGCTCAAATTGAACCTAATGTGGTTGTAACCTCTTTTGTGGCTCCCCATTTCTTGTGTCTAGCTAACCCATTGAACTAAATATGACGTAATTTTATGAAACTTAACTTGGCTCTGCAGAGGGATCCTTAAATTGGAAGACGAAGTTCAGTTGGGAATTTGAAGCGAAAGGGTTTTGAAAAATAATTTCTCGTATTTTCTGGGTACGATGAAAAATGAATGTCAATGAAAAATGTTTTTTATGATCAATGGAAAATAAACTTATTTGGGAAAAAAAATATTTTTAATTTTGAAATGTTAAAAACTTGGTTTACCCTTTTTATTTTTGGACAAAAATAATTCTTACGAGTTTTTTAAAAAATGAATTGTTTTAATGATTTTTTTCCTTTTTTTTTTTTTTTTGGGAAATAGTATGCCAAACTTTTTTTTTTTTTTTGGTTGTGTTTTTGAAAAAATAAAAATTGAAAAAAAGAAAAGATAAAAAAAATTTCATTATTATCCATATACGTTGCCTTGATGATTAATTATACTTCCAGACTTTAAATAATTTTAATTTTACTCTTAAAGTTTTTAAAATCATATTCATTTGCCTTCTACTGCCATATTTAAACAGAAAAAGTCAAAAAAAAATTTATATGTGAATTCAAATTTCAAAACAAAGATGCAAACTCACCTTCTCATTATTTCCCTAAATTACCCAAATCCCTCGGCCACTCCTCCCTTCTCCACCGTCATCTTCCCCGCCACCACCACCACCAAGAAGCCCTTTGCTCTCACTATATACATCAAATCGTCTCTATCAACACAAGACACAGTAATACATGACTCAATCTGGGTTTGAATCTGATTCGATTCATCAAATCGTCTCTATCAACACAAGAAACAAATAATACATGACTCAAAAGGTTCGTTTCTTCATTCGATTCATCTATATTTCATTTTTCAGTGTTTGAATCTGATTGATTTGATCTCTAATTTTGTTAGTTTGGGTGTAAAAATTGTGCTAAAAATTTGGGTTTGTGTTGGGTTCGTCTGTTTCTTAAGCTTTAAGTTGGATTAGAATTGTCAAGAGCCATTCTACAAATAGAAGATCGAAGCCATGAGACCCATCTAATCCAACACCATGTTCATTGATTTCTCTCATGTCATGCAATTCAACGATGTTCTTCAAAAGGCTATCTATGATGAATACCTCAGATACTTCATTCAATTCTCTCACTTCATTATTGTATATATGTATAGATGTAAAAAATCCTTAATTTTTCTGGGTTGGTTTCAATTTTTAGGTTCGAGCCGTACTTGAAGAATGCTTGCAAGAGATTTGTGATGAAAAAAAACCGACATTCATCATCGATGATAACCCTAACAAGGACATCATTGTGTTCTATTATTGTCCCCAATCTCCTTACAAAAGTCAAACTTTCGTATTGTGTTGTTTTGCCTCCAATTCCCTACTAAATTAAAAAAAAACTTTTGGGTAAGGATTTGAATCCTGTTGATGTTGGGAAACTGGTAGCGATGGGTGGCGTCGTCACTCGCACCAGTGAGGTTAGACCAGAGCTTCTCCAGGGAAGTTCTGCGAATTTGGAACCAAACGACGGGGGCTCGGTGAAATTTGAAATTTGAGGTGAAAATGTAATTTTTTTTGAATTTTTTCCCTTTAAATGTAGCGGTACATTTTTAAAAATTTTGAAAATAAAATTAAAGTTATAAGTATGTAAATGTAAGGAAAATGTCTCGTAGCTCAAATTTTGTGGCTCAAAAGTGGCTCAAATGGCCAAAACGATGTCGTTTTGGCCATTTTTATGTTGTTCTGTACTCAAAACAACATCGTTTTGGCAATTTGAGCCACAAAATTTGAGTTACGTAGCATTGTCGTAAATGTAATTGATTATTGAGATAAAATATTGGGATGAAAATAAAATTTTCTCCAAAAGAAAACCAAAAGAAATAGGCCCGAACTTTCTAACATATTTTCTTTTGTCCCAACGACTCTTCACTAAAATGACCAATCACGTTGGGGCACAAAATTTTTTGAATTTTTTCCCTTTAAATGTAACGGTACATTTTTAAAAATTTTGAAAATAAAATTAAAGTTATAAGTATGTAAATGTAATTGATTATTGAGATAAAATATTGGGATGAAAATAAAATTTTCTCCAAAAGAAAACCAAAAGAAATAGGCCCGAACTTTCTAACATATTTTCTTTTGTCCCAACGACTCTTCACTAAAATGACCAATCACGTTGGGGCACAAAATTAGTGGAAAATCAACCAACAAAATAAAATAAAATTTTAGCAATCCAACACACGCTATCATCCTCTTTTAGTGAGTGGATATTTGGGATTATTTTTTTTAATTTTTTTTAATCTTTAGTAAGTAGTTTTAATTTTTTTTTTTCTATTTACTCGATTAGACTTATTGGAAAAAGTAAATTTTTTGGTTTTGTAAAAATTGTTAGAAAGTCTTGAGAATAACATAAAAAAAAAAAAAAAAAAAAAAAAAAACCAAATCAAGCTCGTTGTTTTGACTTTTGTTTGGCAAACGAAATATTCCTTCGAATGAATGCAACATAGCTGGGGTTTGGAAGGTGGTGGTAGTGGTGGTGGCGGCGACGACGACAGTTAAGAAAAAATTTTAGGACAACATTTTAATAAAAATAAAATTAAAAAGTGGTATCCAAAGAAAAGTAGCTTAATAGCAACATCAATCGATTAACATACATAATTTATAATTTGTCTCAAAAATACTGGGCAAAAAAAATATAATTTTAATAATAAATTTACTTTTTTTATAGGAAAATTTACCCATAAGTCCTAGTTTCTAAAAAGTTGAACTATTTAGTCCTAAAAGTTTTCTTATGCTCCATTTTGCACATCAATCTAATGTTCGAAACATTAATCTGATGTTCGAAATCTAATATTCGAAATATTAATCTGATGTTCGAAATCTAATGTTCGAAACATTAATCTGATGTTTGAAACATTGTAATGGGACCTTTCAGTCTATAAGAAAATTTTTAGGACTAAACAGTGTATAAGTTATAAATTTGAGATTTATTGGTGCATCTCCCTTTTTTATATTATAATTATAATATCAATTTGATTTTTAATATCGAAGATATGCAGATAAGAACCTAATTGAATTGTTAAAACTGGACGCATGAGGGGTTCAGTGAACAAAATTGAACTATCTACATCAGTCTATTAAAAAATGCTATCTCACAATTAATTTTTTATATAGAATTAATTAGTAATATACTCCAATTACAAAAAAGGGTGAAAAAACAAGGATGTATACCTCTCTTTTGAAAAATGAGTGAGACCATTAAAAAAAAGAACACTAATAACTCTAAAGTGGTGTAGGTCTCACATAATGGGATGTTTTGTTTTTTTTTTTTTTTTTAATTTCTATCTCATTAGTGGTTAATTAATGCTCCCAAATTAGTGGGATAAATCAGTGTTGCTCTCTTTTAAGCCCGTTTAGTCAATAAATTCCACTGCATCAATAAATGTTACATCACACACATTAATTAAGTATTTTTTGACTTTTTCATTTCATAAAGATTGTTTATCTCTTTTTAAGATATTGTGATATACCACTAAATTAGATTGTTCACATCTTTTATCGATTTTGTTCAATAAAATAAATCATTCCAAACACATTAATAACTTTCATCATCTTATAAAAAAAAAAATTAGAAAGTTAAAAAATATTTTAACAAACTAAGTTCTCAAACCGGCGTGGTAAATTTGAAATAGAGTTAATTGTATGGTCCCTTTAGCCATACAATATAAATTATTTCCCACATAATACAACCTATATTTACACATTATTATATATTTTCATAGTCTGCTTCATATTTCACACTATAATAACACAAAGTGTGTGGTCCCTTTGGTTATCCACACCCTTGATTATCATCACACCAAGCTATAAAACCATAAAAAAAATAAAAATAAAACACACACATAATAGTTGTCTAGTTACAGTTACCAAAGGTCACCATGTTTGACAAACTTGAGAGAGATACAACGAGCCTTCAGCTTTCCTCCGGCATATAATTGTGTGGATGATCATCATCATGCAATGACTCAGCAGCGAACCGGAGATTGAACCTCCGTGGAAACACTTCTTTGGGTGGCGGAGGGCGGTGGTGAAGAGGTGGAGAAGCCACAATCTTGTCGGAAAAGCTGGATGTCCGACGAGGCGTGGAAGCGGCCGAAGTCTCCGGAAAGTCTCATGTATGAAGATGAAGGTGATTCTTTTAGAAATGAGGATATGAAGCCTTGTCCACCATTTTTGTGTTGCATTATGGCTCTGTACACAAATGGAATAAGACCCTCCATTGCTTTGAGAATTTTGAAGAGAGAGAGTGAGAGAGAGAGAGAGAGAGAGAGAGAGAGATGTGTTTAACTTAATGAAGGAGGGGAGGGGTGGGATTGGTTTAAAAGAAAGAAAAGCAGAGGGGGTCGTGACGTGGCGTAATGGGTAGTAGCAGCTCAAAGTTATGTGGGACATTAGGCAATCTTTAAAAAAAAAAAAAAAATCATTATAAATTATTATATTATTATTTATTTTTCTACATTTTTTTTTATTTATAAAAAATTAAAAAAATTATCAAATTAATATATTCTCAAACTTGACTTAAGATCAAGTTTAAGGATACAAAGGGTTGGTTTGTTTTCCTTGATGGGTTGGGCTGAATTGAGTTGAGTGGATTAAATTAGTCACTAAATAAATTAAAAAATTAATAAGATAAAATGTCATATTTAAATTATAAATATTTAATTTTTTCTTTAAAAAGTCAAAAAAGATAATCCAAACAAACTTGACTTTTTAAAGAGGAAAAGCTTGTTTGGATTATAAAGAGGAAAAGCTTTTCCTCTTTAAATTTTAGTTGATTGTGGCAAATCTTCGTTGTGCGCCATTGCTTTTAAAGAGAAAAAGCTTGATCAAGAGGTTTTGTTCTAGTCTGCAATTCCCACAAACGGCGCCAATTGTACGGGAAAGAAATAAATCTTCTCGTATAATCCTGTTGATTAAGTCTGCGCTCCTCCAAACGTCGTCGTTTTACTCCCTGAAAATATAAACGTGAGCTAGCCGGCGGGTGTGTGCCGGAAACCTCTCCGATGCCTAAGTCAGCAAAATAGACAAGTAGACAAAAGCTCTGTGTATTCAGGAATCAAAGTTGTGTTACCTCTCCATAGGTGATATTTGTGAGCTTTTATAGGTTTCGTGTGGCATAGTCCTAATAGGACTTCTACTCCTCCATGCAGAGTCCTCCTAGGATTCATACTCCTGAAAGATAATGCTTATCCTTCAACACCCTCCTCACTGCTTAAACCAAGTGAGATGGTTTTACCATGGTCAGACTTCTATAGGACCGAAATACCATTGCCTTACTAGATATGCAGGTATGACAGATCTAACTTTCAGTTCGGCTCTTCTTTTCCTTGCTTCTACCTCGGCTTCGCATGCCCAGACCGAGCTATCCATAGAAGTGTCGAACCGAACTAACACAGAAGTATCTTGAAGAAGGCTTATCATACTTCGGTTTAGAAGACATGACCAGGCTAACCGTAATATGCTGCGACCGGACTAACTCTGAGAGTGGTGATCCAGCGACCGAACTGTCGCGCTCTCCCGGACCGAGATAACAATGCACTTCTGGGATCGGTCTTAACTTTAAGTCCTACTTGGACCGGACTGGATTTGAGGCCTTTTTACTCAGTCCTTCGTACTGTGGCCCATAACGGCCCATTGTCCAGCTCGGCCCAATATTCATATAAATTACCCTCTCAATTGCCCCTTAATTCCATCTGCGTAGCATGATAGGGATTACTTGTTTTACCAGCCGAGCTAAGGTTTTTAAGCCTTTTAACCGAATTAAAAACCCTTTAGCTTTTCCAGCCGAACTAAAACCTTTTAGCCTACCCAGCCGAGCTAATTCCACACCGGGCTCTCCTTGTCCGGTCAAAATGTCTCTTCAATCACAGCAACTGAATTGCTTCTCATTTGATTGGCCCAAGGCAGCTGTCACGCCGTCTTCGTACTTCGTGAATTTTAAACAGTTCCCGCCTCTGGTTTTTGCAACAAAACAAAACAAACCTATTCATATTGAATCTCACCACACTATTCATCTTCTCTCCTCTTGTTCTCTCTCTTGCCTGCGTCTCCATTGTTTTGCATTTTGCGAAGCTTGCGCTTGTGGCTGTTTTCTACTTCCCTTTCCTTTCTCTTACTTTGGTGAGTAACACAAATCTGTTCTATTTTTCTGGCTTTCGCACTTTTTTAGCCCATAGCATTTGTTTTATGTGTTTTTGCAAAACATTTTTTACTTCCATTTTCTGCCTTGTCTTGCATCTTCTGCAAAAACTTAGTAATAGAGCCCCTCTGATTCAAGAAATAACATGAAAAACACTAGTTTTGATCCAAAATCACAATATAACTAAACTAAGAAGTTGTTTGTAGTGGATGTCAGTCTAGCCGGACCAACCAACCGAGCTAACTTTTTATTGCTATATTTGTAGTTCTAACAAGTCAAGCCTTGAAAACCTTAACTATGCCCGAGCTGAATCTAGGGGCTAAACCAGCCTTCCAAGTTCAGACCGAACTAAGAAAGCTGCCCCTTGAGGCTTAACCGGGCTATCAAATGCCTTGCTGAAACTGAGCTAACAGACCCCTTGCTGAAACCGAGCTAACACCCGTAGTT